GGTCATGACTTGATATACTCATATGGATGTGAACTCTTATTAGGTTCTTTCCCATCCTACAACTTTAGACACACTGAGACTAGAGTCACACAAAACGAGCTTTTGTACATTTTATTGAGCAAGGAATGGGGAAGCATATGTGGGGAATGCACTGGAGCATTTTCAGAGGAAGGAGAAAAGGGTAGCTGCTTGAGTGTACTTATATATTCTTAGTATTTTAATCAACTGCTGATTTTGGTGCTTGTAATCTGAAATGCAACCATCAAGTCAGAGTCATTCCTTTGAGTGATGAAGCAGAGCCAGAGAGGTCTGCATCCTGAACAGTACCATTTGACACAAACTTAGATTCCAAGGCAGCTCAAGCTCATCAGGACCATACAATTATTCAAGGGGGAAAATGGACTTCAAAAGAGCAGAATTCATGCTATATAAGGAAACCAAAATGGCTGATCAGTGCTGGATAATGTTAAAAGAAAACTTGAAACCAATACTGTTTGAGGGAAGTAGGACTGGTAAAAATAAAAACAAACCTCTGCCAACTCTAACAACACTCAGCTTGATTAAGCAGTCTGCTGATCTACAACACAATGATGTCCATCTTCCTTATGACATCTGTCTACCTTTAAGGGTCACAGTTTTTTCATTTTCTTGTCAAGACATCCCTTTAAGGTACAGCCTATGACTCATTACATGGTTTCAGAAGTCAGCACAGTAGCATACATTCAGTAGCATGGACTCTCTGACTCTCAGGACCAAATCAGGGATATGGGACACAGGCATTCCTGAAAGCTTCAGAGTAGGGAAAGTGGCATGAATAGGAATTGCCAATGTACAAAGTCACTATATCTCCAGTGAATCACTATCAGGGGAAAGGCTGGCATTGAGTGTGGAGAGCAGCACTGAAGGTCTCATTTCCTTTCATGCTTGTCTGGATAGAAGAACTACTTGATGTATAAATGTCTCTTCCCAACAATAAAACCTCTTGCTGCTTGCTCCAGTCCAACCGAGAAATACCCTAGTGCTCTCAGAGTACATTATCCACACTTTAACCTACTGAGCAACTTACATTATTAATGTGTACAGATGTACTATTCACCTGGTGCTAAATATTCTCTTGATAATTCTTAGACATATTCTTAACTAAGTATATCCCTGTGTGACTTACATACCTTTCCTCATTTGCCAAAGAAAGGCCCATCTAATGTCTTATTTACTTGTATGCATACACACACACACACACACATACATTCACACACAAATACATTCACCCACATACATACACACAAAAACACACTCATACACACACATGCAAACCCACTAGTTCTTCCATGATTGCAAATACTGCATATATGTGTGGATATGTTCCTAAATGTACTTTCACATACCCACATGCTTCTACATCCCTTTGATTGCACAATATGTCTCTGCAAAATGCTATGTTCATACCTTTTGCTGATCAGTATGTTCATTTAAGGGGCAATTGGTCAAGTCATCCTTGGTCTTCATACATGTGGTTTTGCCTAGGATCACATCAAATAAGAAATACCTTCCAGCCACCATCTAAGGAGAAGATAATAATTAACTTTTAACATTAGACTGAACTTCACATGGGTTCTTTTAAATTCCAGTAAGAAAAATGGGAGACCGAAAGCATAGTATTCCTAATACTTTGGAAAAGTAGGTAGCTCAGAGTAGTAAGCCAGGATGGAGGCAATAAAACTTTTGTATTCAACAATGCAAGGCTACTCAGAGGACCAGTGTTTTCTGGAGGTTGAATCACAGGAATAATTAGATGATAAAGCCCGCAAATGAGAACATATGTCTTACATTTTTAATTAAATATATTTAGCTCATTTTTCCCCAGAAGGAATACCACACTCACCCTTATAGAACTGTAGAGAAACAAATGGTGAGAGCAGACAAAGATATGGAAACACTGTGAACCCAAATGTGAATTCTATGCATCGTCAAGACTTAAGATTCATATCAATGAAGTGATATTCAACCACTGTATTCAGTGTGCAAAGGTCTAAGGTTCTGTAATAGGTTGCTTATAAACATGGTATGCCTGACTGAATATGATTTTGCAGGAATTTCTTTTATTGTGAGGTTGACATGGATACAGTCATATCCACAATATGAATCCCTGAAATTCATCATCATAAGATATCTTCCCATATTATAATGTCTTGATTAATTTCATTCTGCAGAGTTTAGAAGTTTTTATTATGGAGACCTTTAGTTCCTTGGCTTTGTTTGCTATGAAAGAAATTTTTTCTTCTTCGTTTGATTCATTTTCTTTTATTTCTGCTTCTCTTTCACCTACTTTTCTTGCTCTGTCTCCCCCTCCCACTCATCCTTGATTTCATACTCTTTTGTGTCCTATTATGAGAAGTGGAAACAGTGCCCATGATTATTTTCTGTTTGTAATGGGATTCTGCTAGTTTTTCTTCCTTTAGATTCGTGTTCCTTATGGTCTGTTTCCTATAGCATTTATTATACTGAGATATACCCCCTCAAGCTCTCTTCTCTCGAAAACTTGTATTAGGAGAATACTATCCAGAAGGATTATGCAAGGAAAATAGCAATACTGAAAATTGAACACAATCAAAAATTAGGAAAATGAAAGTAAAAACCACTAAGAGCGCCAACTTGAACTAAGTTAGGAGGACTATTATTAAAAAATTCCTCTGTAGCAAATGGGAAGATTGAAGATTACATAATCACAGTTGTTGATGTGGCTGTTAACAGGTTTCATATGTTGATCATCAGAAACAAAGAAACAGAACTACCACAAGATCTATTTTATCCAGTACAGACTGTTTTCACATCAAAAGGACTCTGTTCCACTTGAGAGATATATGTTCGTCTATGATGATACTTTCCATATTCACAATAGTTAGGGAGTAAATCAGCCTAGATCGCTGTCACTTGAATCATGAATAAGGAGGATGTGACAAAAATACACAATGGGATATTATTCAAGCTTAAAGAAAAATTAAAAAATGTCACCATAGAAGTTACTCTACTCCCACTTGCTATAAACCATGAGATTATATTTTAAAGGGAGCCCCAAAGTCTCCTTTCCATATTTGGCCACAGACTTATTCCTCAAACAAAACACTAGAGTCAAAGAGACAATCAAAATTATTATTCTACTAGCATTCTTAATCAGGACTCACCAACCTATCTTAGCATTACTCTACTCCTTCAATTTTCTTTCTAAAAGCTACACCTCCAAAACAAAACAAAATAAAACAAAACAAAACAAATCAAAACAAAAACATGATTTATTGCTTGCTTGCCTTTGCTGCTGCTGTTGCTGCTGCTGCAGTTACTGCTTCATTTACACACAGACCCCAACACACAAACCCTGATTTCCCCTCCAGTTTGATAAACAAACATTTTGGTGATAATTTGGTGTGAGTACTCAGTGTGAGTGTTTGTGCGTGTGTCTCTGTGTGTGTGTTTTCATTTTCTGTTCACAATATTTTGGTCCTTATCTCCAACCTCCATTATAATTGGAAGGTGAGATAGGCTGTTCTTTAAGAACCAAAAGCGGCCTAACACCAAATGCATGTCACTGAGAAGAAGGAATATGGAAACAATCTACAGCCATCAGGCCCATAGATGTAGAATCAATGGGAGAAAAGGGAGACATTTGGCTTTTAATCTAGCTACAAAAGCACAAAAAGCACTTTGACACCTGCTCAGGTCAGCTGCTCTAGCTATCCTTGTCCACCCAAAGACTGCTGAGATACAAACGTACAGATATCCAAAATAGATTTATAGACTAAAAGGTGTAGTCATGCTCATCTTTAAGAATGTGCACATGATAATCTTTGAAATAGTCAGACTGAAAAGCACAGATATAAACCCACACATAGTTTTGATGAGATAAATAGAAGATAATTACCATAAACCAGAGATAGCAAGTAAAATTATGCCTCATCATTATAACAGAAACTAAGGAGTGTCCATGACTTCCTGGTTTAAAATCTGTTTTCGTCCTCGAGCAGTGTGAATGTCATTCAAGGCTGATATCATATTTTCGGATATTAAATAAAACCACTTCCTTTCCACTTTTCTGAGGTACCAGTTCTCTTCTTATTAAACAGGGATCATTGTTTCTCAAAATAAGATGCAAATGATGTGATGTGAAGTTAAATAAATAAATACACAAACAAACAAAAACCAGAAACAAAACCACAACAAGACGACACAAACAAACAATTTAGATGCCAAAGATAGGAAAGCGTCTAAAAGAATAAAATCCTTCTTAGTTTTTATGCTCTACATGGCTTATAAATATTCCTGGTGTTGACCTAAGAACTCACACATGATAGCAGGATAAAATTGCTGGAAACCAGTAGTTACATTTTTGTTCACAACAATCCCCCATTAGGTGACACTGAATAGCCATTGGGTTTTTCTCTGCCTGTGAGGACACATTTTAGTCACAATTTTCTCCTTTCAAAGGTGATGAGGACCTTGGAGGGTCCTGCTCTCTCAGGACCCTAAAGACAAAGAATTTCTGGAACACAAAGTGTTCAACTAGGATTTTGTAGGAATTTGAAGGCCAGAAAACAGTGGTATCTATTGTCAAGAAGATAGCCAACCTAACCAAACTCAAAACTGGAAGAATAAAAATTGTTTAAAAATCTGGGGTGAAAAGATAGTGTGGAACTGTAAGAGAATAAGAAGAGTGAATAGAGAGGAGATGGAGATTCAGGGAAGAGGAAGATGTGGAACAAAAATGTACAGAAGGGGAAATAGAGCTGGCTTCCTGTAAGAGCAATGTGAACAGAGACAAAATATAGAGGCATGAATAGACAAAGGAGGGGAAAGTTGAAATAACATATGGTGCTGTCAAGGAGCCAATGTAAACTAATAGTACAGCATATAAGGCCAACACCTTCCGAGGCTACATTCACTGCCTGATCCAAACTCACTGCAATTCCACTTCTATCGTTGGATCCATGTCGAATTGGGAGAAGACCATGGTCTACCTACTCCATGCTCAACTATTTTTGCTGACCACCGTCATATTTGTTCTGAACCTGAGCCATTACGCTATGCTAGGTCACATTCCAGGTGGCATAGAGAAATCTAATATGGAGGAGTATGGGGCCCCAGATGCACTGGACTTTGCTGTCAGCCAGTACAATGATAGAAACAATGACCTGTACCTGAGCCGTGTAATGGAAGTGAAGAGTGTCCAAAGTCAGGTATGTGTCCCTTTGTTGAGGGAGCCTGACTTATCTTAGAGTCTTGAATCATTTTAGCATTCTCTCCACCTTGCTGTTCTTTGATACTGACTTAATTTGCTTTGTAATCAGTGAGTTGAGCTGGAAATATTTGCAGTATTCACATATTCCTCCCTTTATTACATTTTTATTCTCAGATATTTTCTGTCCTATAGAAGCACTTGTAGGTGTCCTTCTCAAACTACAATAGCCTCTGTTTATCTCCTTTCAAATTTAAGAGTATGTTGTCAGTGTGCACATGTCTGTTTCTTGCTATACTTCCCAGCCAAACAAGATCAGAGGCTTTTCAAATATCTTCTAAGAAGAACATCTTATCACTACCTTTCTTGAGCCCAAAGACAATGCAAACAGATAATTATGTGATCATAAAAAGTAAATTCTCACCACAACAGCCTTTTGGTCTTGAAATCTTTAGTGTCTTTTATACAATTCTACTCCCCTTTCTGGGCAAATATCAAAAGCAATCACAATTATAGCACAGGGGCTTTCTCTTAATCCATCATATCGTTGTTACTATTGCATCATATTGTGTTTAGGCCAGCTTCCTTCAATTCCTCAAGGATATATACATATACATATACATATACATATACATATACATATACATATACATATACATATACATATGTATATGTATATATGTATATGTATATATATTTGTGTGTATGTGTGTGTGTGTGTGTGTGCGTGTGTGTGAAATTTTTAAAATATTTTGTTAGTAAACTGTTCAGTGTAAATTTTCCAGCATGTAAAATGAAATTTTTATCCATTTTAAAATGTTTTGACAGGTAAATCTAGAAACAATATTTATACACAGTTTTGTCATATACAGGATCACTCAGTTTCCATAGTTTCATTAGTAGTCAATCTCAGAATGACTTATTTCATAACAGCTTCCTGTTGTCTAGGCTTCCTTTGCTTAAAATTTTACAGAACTTTGTGTAGAATCATTTGCACCCAGCACTGGTGAAAAGTTAGAATCTCCAGTACCACGAAGGGAGTGGTTTCCTAATATTATATCACAAAGGATATTGTTTTCTGCTTGAAGTATGAATACACAATTATGCTGCATAGTGAAATCATGTAAAAAACACCTTTTTTAGAATAATGCTTTCACCTCTCCTTACACAAATCTCTACAAACAAAATATCCCTCCCTTTGAGCCAATACTCCTACTTGTTGACTGGAGATAATATCTTAGGTTCCCACATGAGCCTTTATAATAGGAGTACCACCATTCTAGAGAACCATAGCTTCTTTTTGCATATATATCTTGGAGTGAAGTTGGAATCATCTTCAACAATTTCCTCCTACTTACTCTAGATGTGATCTTTGAGTCATAGTTTGGTTGATCCTCTCAAACATTTATAGAGGAACACAGGGAAATGTACCTTAACCTAGCAGCATGGGGTTAACCTTTGACTCTTAACATAGAATGCTGAAAAAAATAAAAAGGAGGGGGTGCGCCAAAAGCCATACAAGTGGCTGCTGAACCAAAAAGTGAATACTGAAAGAAGGATGAAATTTTTACTAGCTGTTTTCCATTACATTAAAAAAAATGCTCTATATCTAACCATCTCAGCATAAACCATCTCACAAGCATATTGTGGGCATTACTAACATGAATACAGAAACAGGTATGTACCATGATATGTAAATGTAGAGATCTTTTTCCTTCTTGCCATGAATATCAATGATGTAAAGAATAACAGAGTTCTTTCTGTCTACAGCATTTTCTCATGAGCACAAGATATCCTGTGGAAGACTCAATTATGGTAGAAGAGTTAATAAAAAGGAAACTTCTGATGGGTCATCTTGGTTGCCAAAATGATTTTAATGAGAAATGAATAAGTGATTATTAAGAAAACTTTCCATGATATTGTATAATACCTTGTACAGGTCTGACTGGATGCTAATTATCTTGAATATTCTCTTACATAATCCATTGATTAGTCTGAAAAGTGATGCCATTAATGAGTAGAGATGAGATTCAAGGAGTGGGGACACTGAAGGAAAATGTCATTGAGACCCTTGTTTCACATCCTGTGGTTTTCTCCATCTTTCTTCTATGTTCTGTTCTCAGATTACTGTCAACATGATGTAATTTCTTGGTTCTCTTGACTTTTTTTTTTGCATAATGGACTAGCAACTCGGAAACACTGACCCTTACAGAAAAAGAAAGCCCTAGAAAGCCCTACATAAACATCTTCATTAAGGCCTAATATGTGAGATGAGTAAACTATGAGAGAATTATAGACCACTGAGGAGTGAATAGAGTAGCTGCAGCTCATTTTGTTCATCTGAAGCTTAATGCTAGAAGATACATGGGATTCACTTCTGAATTCACCTGGTTCTTAACATTTTGTCAGCTCTCACATTTGTTTCATTAGCATTGTATCAGGATGAGTCTATGATTCCCTATTGGAAAAACAGCTAACTGTTCTTAGTCAAAAATGTAAATCCGGCATGAGATTTAAACACTACAAAAACATTCCTTTTAACAGCTGCACTTCAGGTTACGTGTGTGTGTGTGTGTGTGTGTGTGTGTATGCATTCTTTTTGTATTGAAACATTCTCCTTTTGAAGCAACCCATCTCCTCATGAGAACGTAGGGATGAGCATGAATAAAGAAAAAGCATGGATGTTCTGCTCTGGAAGAGGACTCATCTAAAGATTATAAGTGAGCTCCCACACATGACTCACTGTAACAGTGCTATTTCTTTCTCATTTGTGGGTTCCACCTCAAATTATTCCTGTGTTTCAGCCTTCCAACATCACAGATCCTGTCAGCAGCCTTGCATTGTCAAAAACAAAATTTATATTGCCTAAATACCAGCTGATACCTCAGAGCTACATAATTTTCCAAAGTACTAGAAACTCTGCTCTTTCTGTGTTTTGTCAAGCTTACTGGAATGGAAAAGAGCTCATGTGAAGTTCAGTTTAATATTAAAAGGGAATCTTTAATTTCTTCTTAGGTGGTGGCTGGTAAGAAATTTTTATTTGATGTGATCCTAGGCAAAACTACATGTTTGAAGACCCAGGATGACTTGACCAACTCTCCCTTAAATGAAGAGTCTAATCAGCAGGAGGTATGAATACAACACATATCAGAGACATTCTGTGCAAGTAGAGGGATGGACAAGCCAGTGAGTTTGTAAAAGTTTATTTCAGATCATAGTCATATTGACTTGTAAATTTGCAAACATGGACAGATGTGTGTGGTTGTGTGTAGTTGTGTGTGTGAGTGTCCATATAAGTAGATCAAAGTTTATTTGAATTGTCCTTGGGCAAAGGTGGAAAGGTATGTATAAGGTGTGTGGTAAGTGACACATAGGTTTTTACAGGGTGAGTAAATGTAAATGTAGTGTACTTAGTTAAGAATATGTCCATCAAGTTTTGATAGTATATGCAGCACTGAGAGCAGACTATCTGTACACATAAAAAAGGTGACTTGCTAAGTAGGTTAAAGTGTTAATTATGTACTTTGAGGTTACTATGGTGTTTGATTGACCTGGAGGATGGAGTAGCAGGTTTTTTTTTTTCTGGGAACAGACATTTACACTTCCAAGCATAGCTTCTCTCCACACCATCCTGAAAGGAAATGAGCCCTGCAGTTCTTGCACTTAATGCCACCTATCCACAAACAGTGGTAAACTGAAGATATGATGGATTTGTGTACAATGGCAATACATTTCATGTTACTTTCCCTACTACGAAGCTTTCAGGAATTTCTCTGTCCCATTCTCCTGAAAGTTCCCTGTCTGGAAGTGAGAGGGTTCTGTGTACTGAATGTAAACTCTGGTCCTGACTTCTGAGATCCTAGAATGAGTCAGAGGGTATTCCCTAAAGGGATGTCTTGACAGGAAAACGAGAAACCTGTGACCAATAAAGGTAGACAGATGTCATATGGTAGAGGGACATCACTATGTTGTAGATTAGCAGACACTGCTTAATAAGGCAGAGTGTAGGTAGAGTTGGCAGAATTTTGATTTTACATTCACCAGTGGAATACCCTCAAACAATTCTGGTTTCAGATGTCCTCTAAGCTTTATCCAGCACTGATCAACCTTCTTTGTTTACTTTTATATAATAAATTCTGCTCTTTTGAGGTCTATTATATCCCCTGGGAGAGTTATAAGGCTCTGATGAGCTCCAGCTGTCACAGTATATAAGTTTGTGTCAAGAGTAACAGTACAAGATGCAGACATCTCTGGCAGTGCCTCATCACTCCTGTCATTGATCATGCCTTTATGGATGCCAGATTACCAACACCAAAATCAGCAGTGGTTAGAGACTAAGGATATACAATTACACCCAATCCCCGACCCCTTTCTTCTTCCCCTGCAAATGCTCTAGTGAATTGCCCACATATGCTTGCTAATTGCTTGCTCAATAAAATGTACAACAGCTCCTCTTGTGTGACACCAGTCTCAGTGTATCTAAAGATCTGTGATGAGAAAAATTCTAATGACAGCTCATATTCATATGTATATATCAAGTCAATGCCACATGACACTGTTATTTTCCAGAATGTAGAGATGATAAAGTATGACTGAAACAAATTGAGACTTCAGTCATGTTTAAGAAAGGAAACATACCAGAAAATTTACATGAAGGTGGTAGTTCATTTAATTATATATGTATATATATACATGTTGTCTTATGGTGGCCCTGACTTCTCAAGCGTGCTCAGGTGTATCTGTCCCTAGTCCCTGATTCTATTTCTAAAGGCAGTATTTTCATTTCCTTCAATCCAAAGCTCCTGTCTCTTTACTTGACCTCTAGTGGACCCAAGATTGCATTTCTCTCTATTACTTTTCAGATCACACCTTGTGTAACTTCCCCCTTATTCTGAATCTCCTCTGGGTCGACACCTTTTCTTACACTTTTACATTTCTGACCCTTCACTATAATTACTTCAATATAGCATGCTACACAGATTGTCCTCTTTTGATCTCTCATAAGTTGATAATCATAGTCTACATAAGTTATACCTTTTATTTTGCCCTTCAAATGCATATACCTTTTTATATTAAAAATTACTGTATCATAAACTCACTTTTCTTATTTTCTTGAGAGGGCAAAACATCCAGGGTGATGCTCTGTAATTGCTTTTTAAGGATGGTATTTGAAAGGCTCGAGCAACTTTCATTTCTGCCCTTTTCCGGAGATCATTTTTGGCAAATATCATGAAATAACCTTTTGTTGGGACAATAGTAGGATGATTTCTTTCCACAACTCATTAGCATCAATCATTACATCTGGAAAAGAAGCTTCTTGAAAGTTGGTTGATGGGTTCCTCTCTGACCAGCTCAGCTAATGTTTTCAAAATAGAGCTTAAGACCATCTGTTGTATGATTTATTCCTCTTTCAACACAAATGAATTAGTGTCTTGTATCTATTAAAACTGATATACTCAATCAAAATGTGTGATTATATGAACTTAATCGTGCCCTCCCCCAGGCTTGAGCAGGCCAGGAAGGCCTTGTTTACCACAATAGACATATTGTAATCAGACCTAGGTGAAGTCATATTCCCTGGCTGCACATGTAACTTTCTACAGGAACTAAGAAGAATAGACTGCCTACTGACCTTACCTTGTGACATAATCCAGCTGAAACCAAGGACAGGTTTCATGGGCTTCCTTTATATATTCAAGTGCTGACAATTAAACTTTGATCTTTGATCAGAGAGCTTTGTCTTGGCTTCATGCTTCTTTCACCCCCCCCCCCATGTCTTTTTCATTCTCAATTCTTCTTTTAGGTGAACCCAGTTTGTCTCTCACCACTGAAAGCTACAGGTGGTTCCCAAAGAAGAGACCTAAAAATGGAGGGTGTGGGGAGGGGGTGGAGAAACAATTGAGAAATTCTGACTTGCATGTAACTCCACAGAAAATGGAAGAAGAGTTTCATACATGGTTAACAATGAACAACATTGGTGCTAGAGCTCTCTTTTGGAGGCTGTATTGCAGGAGGTGCATTAAGAGGATTTAGCTAGGCTGAATAGGTGTTATCCTGATGCTGACTTCACTTAGGGGGTAACAGTTAAATTTCGAGCTGTGGAATCATAGATAGACCTTTGTCAGCAACCTATGAGCTGCCTCAGGCATGAGGAGCAGGGTTAGAAGGAATTGGAGAAATTAAAAAAAGCAGGGCACTGAGGAGTAAGTATCAGTACCTGCTGCAGGACCTCCTAATGGTGGAGATAAAAGTTAGACTTTTAATAAAATATTTCAGAGCTCTTTGAAGAACAGGAGGAAATAGGGATATAATCTGCTTTCTCTTAGGCTCCTATGGGAGAAACTGTTAGTTTTGTCTTTGACAAGCCAATCTGTCCACGTGTGTCAATTGTCTGTTTTTTGTTGTTGTTGGAATGATTGTTGTTCTGTGTTTCATGTTCAAAAGAAAAAGATGGTTAAAACTTTTTATCCTGGCTAGCCACCACTTGCTTTAATTTAACTTGTTTAAAAGACAGACTTAATGTGCACAGCAGAAACTTATGAGTTACTCTGCACCTGTAGCTAGGAGTCAAGTTCAGCTGGAGAAGAATTTCCTGGAGTTGACTGTCTGCATAAGCTGGTCTTAAAGAGGCAAGCAGATTTTTTTTCCTTTTATGATAAGGAAGCTGGTGGCTATTTTCCTAGGAAAATCTTTGTGACAGTATTTATTGTGTTCAGTAGGAGACAAGTTGCTTTTCTTTTAAAATTACAGCTAGAAAAAGTAAGAAAAATTTGTTTAATACATATATGTGTATCTACTTCATTTTTGTTTCTGAATTGTTTTACAAGCATAAATATGGTCTGCTGTCTTGGCTGTAGTTTATTGTCTTGTAAGTTAATAAGTAGAATTAAAAATATGTGACTTTGGTAATAGAAAGTTGGCTTAAAGCTGGTAACTCAGGGTTGGAGTCATTCAAGCAACAAGTGCCATGAGCCAATCCAGGAAAACAGGTCTCCAAAGATCCTAGAAACCAGATTTATAAAATACAATATTTAGGGCAGTGTCTATTTGGAGAGATATTTGAGGCTTTACTGTAAGGGACCCCCGAGGGGGAGACCCCACTCTCACCTGGAGTTGCACGAACCCAAGGAAACACAGAGAGCGGCTTGATGCAAACTAGCAAAAGATAGTTGGCTGGCGAGGGGCCCTCTGGTCAAAAATGCATCCCATGCAAGGGAAGGATTTCGACTCCGAGCTCTGACAGTTTGAAGTTTATATAGAAAGCAGCGCAGGGGGAAGGGGAGAGCAGGAAACTTTGGTGCAGCTACATTTGATTGGGTATTTTAAACATTAGCAATAGGTGTAAGTTATCATTTTGGTGGGCATAGCAAACTTTTCTTGGTGGTCATGATGACTCTGTATTTTTGGCCATGAAACCTCAGACCTTCTGATAGGGGAAGAAAAACACCAGATGGCCCATTTCTCATTTGGGCATGTTTAGACTTGTCAAGGTCTGTCCTTGCTTGTTCCTACATTCGTGGTCACCCTGTCCTAGGAGGAACTTGTTATTTTTTGTTTTGGCTGTTTTCAGCAAATTGTTGGTGGTCTGAGGGGTTCTGCTGAGGTATTTTGATTTTCTGTCCTCACATTCCCTACTCCTCTTATTAAAATTGATTTTAATCTTAAAATCACAGGGCAGTATCTTCAGGTTCTTTTCCTAAGATCTCATATGTCCGTCTTAATGTCAATATCTGAACAGCATTGACCGTATCTTTTATAAAAGCAACTATTTTATTAAAGACACCTGGTCCTACAGTCAACAGCAAGAGTAGAATTACAAGAGGACCTGCAAGAGAGGATATCAATGTGGTCAGCCAAGGGGATCTATTAAACCAGCCTTCAAACCAACTCTGCTGTATTTCTCTGTCTTTTTGTCTCTGATCTAGTTTCTCTCTAAGTTTGTTCATAGAGTCTTTAATTACTCCCGAATGGTCTACATAAAAACAGCATTCTTCTTTCAAAGCAGCGCACAATCCTTCCTCTCTAAGAAGCAGCAAGTCTAAGCCTCTTCTATTCTGCAATACAACTTCAGAAAGGGAGGGTAATGATTCTTCCAGTTTGGACACTGACTGTTCCAGGGCTCTTAAATCTACATCCATGGCAGCCCTTAATTCATGAAAACAGTGTGGGGTCTGGATCAATGCAGCAGTTCCTGTGCCCATACCAGCAGCCACTCCAAGTCCCAATATGACAGCTAGGGTTAAAGAAATGGGCTCACTATGAAAGTGTCTAAGGTATCTAGGCTCATGGTCAAAAGTATCTGCAGGGTAGTAATAGACCCGAGGGACTAGTTGAACAAGCACACAGTAATCCTTAGTATCATCAAAAACAGCAGTAGAAATACACGGGGACAATCCAGACCCACAAGCTCACCACGTATCTCTTTCTGGTACTAAATATTTATTTTCAGCAGTCTTTGAACTCTTAAGGATCTTATTACATAAATGTTTATAGGCAGTAGGGAGGTTTCCCAAGCAAAGTCCTTGTTCTGAAACTTCAGGGAGAGTGAGTCTGTTCTCACTGTTCCATGTGCATGTCTCATGGCTGGTGGTAGTGTTAAAAGTTCCTGTTGTAGCGAGGCCTTCATAATAAGGGGGCCCTGAGGAGAGGCAGAGCCAGCATGACTTGGTCATCTCAGGCTGTGAGCTGTTTATTACAGTAAAAGCCCCCTGAATTAAATTCAACAGTCTTTGTTCAGTGCCTAGAATAGCTGTGGTGGTGAAAGAGGAGCTGCCGAGGGAAAAACTTTCTGTGGGTGGTACAGGAGTTACCAGTCTACCACGGGGGAGTGGTCTCTGTTCGGGTAACACTTGGTTGGGACCTATCAATAGGGCAGGGAGGCTTTCTATTTTTAGGCGAATGAGGAGGACAGATCCTGCCCCTCCTCCATGTTTGTTAAAGACTAGGCCCCATCTCATACCATTATGCCACTTAGAAAAGCTAGTTGCCCTACCCTTTAAAGTAAATTCTATCTTTATGACATCTACATCACTTCGGGAGCATGGCTTCCCTTTGTATAGTTCCATATCTGGGGCAAACCTGCTTGGTCCTAGATTTGCAAAAGAAAAAGTCACTCTGTCTCAGTTGGATGGTGTTCTCCACCGTCAATCTCCATCATTCGAGGTAACACAACTCTAAGCTCCACAAAAAAATTCTTGGGGGCCATCACAATA